GTACAGTATCTGCACAGTTCCCTGGAGTTGAACCCGTGACCTGCACGATAGCCAGTGGTAAGTAGGTCGCCGTAGGTTGTAGGCCGTAGGGAGATTCAAACTGTAGACCTGTAAGGTAGGAGTCCAAGTAGAGTCCAGAGGCCTAGCTTTAGTCCTTCTAGAAGGTCGGCAAGTGGTCAAGTGGTGAGTCTAAGGTAGGCCCACATTTTCAGATGAAGACAAGTGGCAAGGTCAACAGGTAGGACCTCAGTGCAACTGCACTGAGTCGATGGTACGACTGCCTACAGTCAGCAGAAGGGTCTAGAGAGTCCCAGTCCAGTCCAGCAAGTACCACAGGGGGACTGTGAGCACCAAGGGCCGATGACAAAGGGCAGACCAACGAATTTCTGAAGTATAAATCAAGACGCAGCGCCCAGCCATTCATTCACTCCTGCGTGAGCCATGCGGAAGCGATAGGGTAGATGCAGTGACAGCTGCCATAGCTATAGTTAGTAGTGAGTGTGTGTGTGTGTTCGAGTGTTAGAGTGATGCGTGTGGGATATCCAGGGTGATCCAGTGTATGTGAACAGTGAGATGTTTGGGCGCTGAGGTCGCCATAGCCAATTGGGAGTGAACTCGTATCTGAAAACCATATCTCTGAGTTTTGAGTGGGCGCATGTCGCCAGTATGCTGCGTTACTGTTTACATGTGTGAAAAGTGTGTTTGAAAACGAGTCTGATTGCAGCCTCCCCTTCTCATGGCTAATTACGGAGGGCGTACTACCCCGTACAAAGATGCATGCAACCCTGCAGCACGCACATCCCAAACACGTACCCAACCCTCCCCCCGCCCCCCGCCCGCCTTCCCCTCCCCTGGCCCCTCCCTGACACTCTTTCCCCCTTCGGACAATGAGGTATAGGTTACAACTTCAACTGCAAGTTTGACTGCAAGTTTGACTGCAAGGTTGACTACAAGTTTGACTACAAGTTTGACCACAAGTTTGACAGCAAGTTTGACAGCAAGTTTGACAGCAAGTTTGACTACAAGTTTGACCACAAGTTTGACAGAAAGTTTGACAGAAAGTTTGACAGAAAGTTTGACAGAAAGTTTGACAGAAAGTTTGACTGAAAGTTTGACTGAAAGTTTGACTGAAAGTTTGACTACAGGGTGGACAGCAGGGTTGATTAGAAGGCTAGAGAGGTGACTAACCTTTGGGTTGGTAACCCTGGAGTGCTTGCGGAACTCAGCTGCAACTTTGGACCGCAGCTCTCCCAAAGTCACAACCTCATGCAAATTGTAGCGGTTCATGATTGCCGGAAGCTCGCGACAGACCTCTCGAAAGAACTCTAAAGCCCGCTGCTTGGCTTCAGAGATAGTAGCAGATCCAGCACCCGTTACATTTGCTCTCAGAGCCGCCATAGCGTCCAGCTGAGGCCTCTTCTTCCCCCGTTTATCTCAGTGCACCTGATGCCAGCTCTACCTAGACCTGGAGTACACAAATGGGAAACAGCCAATAGGATAATCATATGCTTAAGACGCAGACGCAACACATCACAGCCTAGAGATTCCTCAATATGTCTCTATCTCCAAGATATACGTTACACACGAGGACTCTTGGATTGAGAGCATCATCAGACTCAGCGAATTCTATGACTTGACACATGAGTTGCTTTATCAGTAAACTGACTGATTCCATCATCAAATATCCTTCGGTTCATCATGACAAAGTGCTCTGCACCACAGGAGCAAACTGCATCACACATTGACTGCCTCTCTGCAAGAGGATGGAAAACATCGACCAACAGACCCTTTGACACTCTCATGAAGGCCTCAATCTGCTGTACCCTCTCTCTCTCTCTCTCTCTCTCTCTCTCTCTCTCTCTCTCTCTCTCTCTCTCTCTCTCTCTCTTAACTTTTCTGGAGAAGTGCTGTTCCGTTGATCTGTAGGCTGTTCGTGAATTACCCGCACAGTTGCAGTCTGAGAACTCTTTAACTTTTTTCTGGAGAAGTGCTATAATGCTATTCCGTTGATCTGTATGCTGTTTGTGAATTCCGACTCTGAGTCTGTTTGTTGTGTTTTCTGAGCATGTTTGTGGTCGACCAATCGTGTATGTATTCGTGTGGATGCGTTCTGAGTTTTGGGTCTCTCTCTTCTGATTTTGACTGTGTTTGCTGTGTTTCAGAGTACGCTTGTGATCAAAATGTTGTCTGTTTGCCGTGTGCTTGCATGCTCAGATTCTCTCTCTCTCTCTCTCTCTCTCTCTCTCTCTCTCTCTCTCTCTCTCTCTCTCTCTCTCTCTC